ATGAAACGATATGAAATTAAATTTTACAATAAAATAATATTTAAATATTATGATGAATAATAATAAGTACAATTTTATTCTGTATCAAAAAAAAAATTGTTTTAAATATTATTTACATTAATATAAATGGGTCAACGGGATAATATATTGTTAAGATAAAGTTTAAAAATAAAAAATAAGGTAGAAACCTATCCGTCGGGGATGGAGCCACCCCAAAGGCTGGGGCGGGCTTCAATCCGGTCTTAATTTTATGGTTATGTTCATCGATTAATTCTATAAATAAAGGACCCTATGAAATAGAACTGATAAAAAATATTTTAACCTACTTTACATTATACTAGCCCAGTATTAATCTTATTTTGACCCAAAGTAAGTTTAATTTTTTTTGCATTAAATTAATGAATTATATATTTAAACATGAGTTAAGTTTCTTTCTACTTTTCTTTTATATTATTATGCCTCTTTTAAGATGTCATTCTTGTATTTATTTTTTATTATTTGATTAAATAGATTTTATTTGAAAAAAATTTTTCGAGACAATATTTGATTGTATTATACTTTCACTAGAATACTTAGTATGTGATTATTTATAGATTATATAATCAAGTTTATTTATTCATTGAATTTTTAAATAAATGATAGTTGATTATATGAAATTTACTACTAAACCTCATTTATTTATCTTAAAAATTCAATGAAATGACATGTATACTTTAAATGACATGATATATAACAAGAATAACGGGACAATTACACTGTTTTATAGTAGTTCTTTGAGTAAATTATATTTTTTAATTAAAATTCAAGTATATGAGAAAAAACAATTTTTGTACATTAAAAAAGAAAAATTTTAAAAAATTATGAAACAATTAAAAATAAATATTTTTCATATGTGTTAAGAGAACGGTTAAGAATCAACAAGTTTTTGTTCAAGGAGAGTCATATCCATATAAAAAACGATCAGTTAGAAATTATAATAATTATTATATTTATTGTGTGACTTAGGTAATTTATATTGAATTTAAAGATTATTTTCATATTTGACTTTTTTAAACATGTATCTAGCTAGATCTCTCAAATCGAGTATTTCAAGTTCGAACTCGTGCTCATTTATAAACGAGTTGTCGTGGCTTAGTTGTCTAAGAGCACCCACAATGCTTTGATTCTCTTACAAAAATACTATATGCCATGTAGGACTTAGTCTATTAAAAAATACTTTTCAATGCAATGAACAGTAGTCTAGGTCTAACTTATGTGGCAATCAAAAAATGAGATCAAGTCTACACTTGGGTCTATTTTGGACCCAAGTACAAACCTGAACAATCAACATTTATTTCTAATTTTATTTTTTTCTTAATATAGATAATATTTTAGAGTATTTCTATTGGTTGATAAATATTCTAGACCTAGTATTTTATTTTTGCACTGGATGACTTTTGAATTTTTTATTTGAATTTGTCCATGTCATTCAGGACTTAAGTTCATTTATATGCCACATATGTAAAATTGAATTCAATGCATTGTGGATGCTCTAATAAATAAATACAAATTTGAGCTTAGGTTTGACTTGTATAAACTCAGTTCAATTCATTCAATAAACTATAAAACCTAGGACAAAATTTAAAACTCTAATTGACTTATTTACGAACATGCTCGACTCGACTTGTTTGATAGACATGCTTGATTAGTTGTTCGATTTTGGCTCATTTTAATATACAAAAATGCCAAGCTCGCACTTTTACAAGTTATCAATCTATGTTAGAGAACAACTCGTTTTGAATAGCAACAACAAAGTTTGCAGCCTAGGGTGAAAATTTTTTCTGGCTACGCCCCTGCTATCCGTACATCGCACGGGATACTTACTAGTGTCTAAATATAGATTTGGACCATATTGTTAAGTTATATTTGTAACTTATTTCTTATCATCCCAGTTTATTTGCTTTACCCACTTTTTATATGAATATTATATTGGAACATAAGCCGCACCATCTCCTTCGGGGTGCCTCCCCATAGGCGGGCCAGTCTCTTGCAATCCCGGCGAGCATCCGGCTCGAACGACGCTTGGCGGCTCGGTTATGGTGATCCCTCGTCTCTCTCCCTCCGAAGTGGCTTATATCTCTTTGCGAGTGCCATGGCAGGCAAGTGGCGTCGGTGGTCGTGTTCTGGCAACTGCTGCGGGCTTCCATAGTGGAGGTCAGTGGCGGCGGTCTAGTCTTGGTTCCCTCCCCCTCCAGCCTTCTATGGTGTTGAGATGGTGCAGTCTTCCGGGGCGGTTGCGTGGTGCAAAGCGGCTCCGGTGTTCCCGTGGAGGGGTTGTGAAGTGGACCGGCCTGGGCGACTCTACGGAGTTTCAGGGTGGTTGGCAGATCTGCAGTTCAATTCCAGTTAGCACGTTAGTGGAGTTTTTGATTTCGTTGTGTTTGGGACGCTGTTTGCGTGACTTTTGGTCAGTCGTTAGCGTTTGGATGTTTGCTTGGGTTATGTGGACGCTGGTTGTTCTTGTTTGTTGGGGAGGGCTTGTGTTTTAGTTGTTTTTGTGTTTGTTGCTTTTGTTTTGTTAGTATATGTTGTTTTCTTTGTTTAGTTATGTGGTTTTTTCCTGTGTTTGTTTCTCCATTTGGGAGTTGTTTAATTCTCCTTTTGGCAATTGTTTTTCTTCTCCTATTGGGAGCTTTAGTTTTTTTAGTGTAGTTCTGTGTTCAAGTTGGTTCGAGGCTGTAGTGTGGTTCTGTGTTTAGGTTGGTTCTAGACTGGCTCGAACTTTTGTCTATGGATCTAGTCCTTCTAACTAGATCCAACTGTATTGCTATTCATTCAGCTGTTTAGTTGTGTAATTATGTGTTTTTTTTATTGAAAGTCTATCATTTGACAAGAAAAAAATATATGTATATGAATATTATATTATTTATGTGTACGAGTACAAATTTATGTAATTTTTCATGTACTCAAAATTATGGAATTTTAACCATTTTTCTCCAATGCAGTATAAGACTATCAGCAATCGGATTGAAACGAGCAAGAAGAAGGTAATAAATCAATTTAATAAATAATGTTCTCCCTTTCTTTAACCTTCATGATTCTTGCTTGAAGTTTAACTATTTTTTTTTTTCCTTCTCTATTATTTGCAGGTGAGGAATGTTGAAGAGATACACAGAAATCTTGTGCTTGAATGTGTAAGAAACTCTCTTCCCAATAAACCTTTTGAGTTCTTGTTAAGTTCTATATTTTTATTACATTCTCGTAAAGCATTTGCATATGTTATATATGATGTGTAAGAAAGTGGGAAAAATATATGTTCTATATTATTCAAAAGACATGTACACATA